AATTAATCAGTCGAACGCGAAGTTTTAAGCCATCACCGCACCAATTAAGACACAAGCGGTGGCTACAGGCGTGGCTAATTACAACACGCACGCGGATGACCACTTCGAGCTATAACTACCGTGCAAACTTTGCATGTTTCAAGCTTATCTGCGCATGACTCAGACTATGATATGATTACATATGATTAAGGATTTCCGATGGAATCCGAAACGCCAGGAAAATGAAACTCTCGTTTCAGTGGTGGCACCTTTTTCTTCTGAACACATACGATTGTTTATAGTGAGAAAAAAGCACTGAACCGTCGACTAAATGCGCTCTCCCCTGCCTCCAGCATCAGGCCAGTGGTCAGTTGTTTGATTTCGGATGGCTGCCAGGGCCGATGAATACGTCTGCGCGCACTTGAGCCCTCCCCACACCCTTGATACATTCACTCCAGGGTTGAGACAACCAGGGGTTGAGAAGGCACCGTCGCCGTCTGACTCCAACTGCTAGCTATGAAGGCAGGCACTCATTCAGTCTGGCATTGCCGTGTATTTTTTCAAACAGCATGTCGTCACACCAATGAACGGTAATGTGAGGTTTTTTTATCTAACTCAATTGGCATGAGGAGTGAACGTGCTGCCCAAGTGTTCCATAGCACACAGTGTACTCAAGTATCACTTCCGTTTGCTATGTAGAACAATAATGGCGAGCTGGGGCCGGTTTTCGCAATTTTTTGCTTAAATTTTGCGCCACTTTTTTTCAACGGTAATGTCAGTAGAGGTAAATATGCGAGTTCCAGGAAGCAGTTCAGAAGAAGTAGGTGCGACCACTCGAACAAGAGTTTTATTGTCCTGAAGTGTTTCGGATTCCGTCAGGAATCCTGAATCATAGGTAATGGTATCATAGTCATAGTCGTCCGCAGATAAGGTTCAAACATGCACAGGTGGCGTGGTATTTATAGTTCATAATGGTCATCTGTGTGCGTACGATAATAATGAACTTCGGAAGCCACCGCTAGGGTCTCAGTTGTGTGGTACCGGCTTGACACTT